TTCTCGACACAGCGCCACGCACGCCCATCGCACAACATACGAACATACAAAACATATGCTCACACACACACACACATACACACGCACACACACACACACCACACACACACGCACCACACACACATGCACGCATGAACAACAGACACTCACACACTGCCACACCCACACACACGCACGCACACACGCAAACACGCACGACGCAGCGCACCGGCACGCAACAACACACACATTATATACACACACACGCACGCACGCACACGCACGCACACGCGCGCATGCAGCACACCACACACACACACGATCACATCACACACACACACACACACCAACACACACCACAGCCTAGTGCTTATTGCGCCTCGTTTCAGCCAATTCCGTGCATGCTGGGCTGCGCATGTGTATTTAAAACAGCACTAGCGCTATAAACGGCGTGCGGGGCCGCTGCAGTTAGTTTTGAGTGCGGCTGATCTTTATCAGCCGACCAGTGCCGAGTTTCGAACGTCACCTCGTCGCTTGTAACATTAGTTTCAATTTCACACGTAATGGCAGAAGTCGGGCGACCGCTTTAGGTCGAGATGCCGCCATCAAACTCTCGCTCTCGTCACACTCACTCACGCACACACACACACAACACACAAACACACACACACACACACACACACACACAACACACACACACACACAACACACACGCACACACACACACACCACACATATAATTATTATATATTATATATATATATATATCATATACACAGCACCACACACACACAACAGACAAAGCACACCACACACACACACACACACACACACACACACACACACAACACACACAGCACACACACGGACAGACTCAGCACACACACAACCACACACACACACACACACACACACACACCACACACCACAGTCACTATATATATATATCTATATAGTATTATAGGATATACACACACACACACCCACCACACACACACACACACACTACACACACACAACCACCATCACACACACAATACACACAAATATCAGAGGACATATATTATTATATATATATATATATATATATATACTATATACACACATATATATATATATATATATATATATATATATATATATGCTGCACTTAGCCTATCTACCTATGGATTTTTGGAAATCGCTGCTAAAAATCTATTGAAGTAATATTGAAAAAAATCTATTTTTTATCATCTATGTTTTTACGTCACCGAAAATTACATTTAGACAGAACAATAACCGAGCTAAGGCAAAAATAATACCAAGCAAATAAAAAATGATTATAAATTGGATTCCAATTAAAATGATATTTTAATTTGCGATTTTATTTACAATATTACAATTCAGTGAAATTAAACTGATTTGTCAATTTTATTGAGCAAATACGCTACGCTCTAATAGGCCCTACACGGTTATATTTGGCTTGTTTACGTTGACCCGACAAAGTAAACCTTTGAAATGATTACTGGCTAAACTTTATTTAGGCAGAAATTAGTTTTTAAAATTTAGTTTATTTTTTTACTCGGTAACTTTCCAACTTATCTTATTTTATGGTATCTGATCTTATCTAATAATATCTTATCTTATCAAACCATATTTGGAACTGAATAGCTCCAACGAGCACAGACATCGAGCAGAATTGAAATTTCGATGCTGTTTAGCAGTTTAACTAATTAATTAGTTAAGTAAACAATACCCTCTCTTTCTTGCATATAGGGTGCAGCATTTATGATTCTTGGTGCATGTAAACATTAGTTCCTCTATCTGAAGCCCGGTTAGCTCAGTCGGTAGAGCATCAGACTTTTAATCTGAGGGTCAAGGGTTCAAGTCCCTTATTGGGCGGCAAATTTTTCCACCGACAAAAACGTGAAAGCATCCACGCGTTATAATAATCTTTTCTATATTTTTCAATTTTATGCGCTCTTTGCCAATCATATGTTCAAAAGACGAGGAAGCCAACGATGCTAATCATGATCTCGTTTGATATTTATTGATATTATGCTTCCTGATCTAAACCATGGCTTTTTCTGAAGCCATCAAACAGGGCATAGGTCCACGACCCTTCAAATTATCTTGCCTTTCCTCCAGAGTAGAGTTCTATTTAATTAAGTATCAAATTAGTGATGACATAAAATTAAGAATGCAAATTTTGAGGTTAATCCACTGAATTATTATTAAATAGAGGAATTATTCCTAAACCCCTATTAAAGTTATTGTATAACATTAAAGCGTTTAAAGATCTTTCGCCCACGGTTTACGTTTGGCTCAACAGCAATAAAGAGTATTTAATAGCACTGAAAAAGAAGTGAATTAAGTTGAATTAGATATAATACAATCAAAATTATAAATAAACTCGCACATTTGCAGTACTGTTATAGATTTCCTTCACCAAATAAACGTGGCAAGAAGAATTTCCGCCGGCCATTGCTGTTTAATAAACTCTACCATTGCTTAAACTGCTTGGGATATATAACTATGCATACATATATGACCATGTATATATATATATATATATATATATATATATATATATATATACATGTGGTGCTATATGTCGTGTAAACGTCCAACATTTTACATGTTATAATCGGATACTTGGTGCTAGAGCGAATACAAATGGTACATGAAAAATGCAACGATGATTTTAACAGTCTATCTAGTGTTTATTCCTAAGGCATTTAGAGTCTTCAGAGGTATTCGGCGATTAAAATGTGTTGCATGAGATTCTCATACATTTCCGTGTATACGTATATAATTTATATGCTGCACATATCTCGTGAGAAAGCACACGCACACACGCAGGTATGCACGCGCCCACACACGCTCAAACACACACACACGCACGCACACACACATGCACACGCACACACACACACGCTCAAACACAGTCACAATTGCTCCCCCCCCCCACACACACACGCACACACACACATGTACACGCACTCACATTCGCACTCATACACGCCCACGCACGCTTACACACGCACGCGCGCACCTAAACACATACACACACACGCGCGCACCTAAACACATATATACACACACACACGCGCATGCATGTACACGGACACGCGTACACGTACGCGCGCATGCATGGACACGGACACGCGTACACGTACGCTCGAGAACGCAAAAAATCAATATTCGATAAAATATCATAAACCGACCAAATCCAGAGCAAATATTCCCGCTACTGTCTCAATCCGGCACGGCCCGCCCTTGAAAAGGGACTCCAACTCATTGTGTTAAAAAATATTTTTTGTCCCGCCTACCGGCTTAAAATAAACCGCAAACGTCAGAAATCATAAAAATAATCTCGGCACAGCGAAACGACGACCGACGATTATCCCATGAAACATTAATTTTACTGGGATTTACTGACAATCGCATTATTCACAGATCGCTCAGCAACATGTCTGCGCCGAAAATATATCCATCTGCAGTTGCCCGCAAAACCCGGGGGACCACGTGATCAGCAGCATATCGGCTGCTTATGCTCGCGTTTCGCAGCCGACCTGACGCAGCTAGAGCGACGGCTGTCCGACCTACGCACGCTACAACTACCTATTACTACATCCCGCACCCACGCTAAGGTAAGACGCCGCATGTGTTTACACGCTCTATATACTAGTACACGGGTGACAGTAATGTGTCGCGGTTAGCGTGCGATCGTGGTGTAAGGCACGGCGGACTGTACCGCACGGGCGCCGCGTGTTGTTGTTGTGTGGTGCGTGTGTGTACGGACACTGTCGTCGGCACCACGCTCGCCTCCTCTCTCTCTCTCCCGGGCGACGTACACTGTCCGCTAGGCGGTCATCACTGACGTCACACGCAGTAGCTTTTCATGTTTCATTACGCGCTGCTATTCAGGAGATCGTGAGGAGAAATCTAGTCGACTTGGCGCGAAAACCAGCCGTCCATATGTCAGCACGTCGGCCCCGTCGCTGTGCGGCTGAGCGAGCCGCCATTATTTTATCGATCTTCTCCATTTATATGCAAATCGCTGCCGCTGCTGCCGTTATTGCGCGGTGCCTCCTGAGCTGGTACGCGCGCGCGCGCATCCTCCTCCCCTCCTCCCCCTCCCCCCCTCCTCCCCTCCTGCGTCCCCCACACACGATGACAAGCAATGAATTAGGGCATGTCATTAGCGACCGATTTTATCATCTTTATCGACGGAGCACGCGCGCAAAACTTTGTAAATTTTAACAAGTCGAGTAATTTAGCTTAATTTAGTTTAATTATTATAGACGGACGAGGCGCGCGATAGGGAAAAAAAGCGTAAAGAATTAGCCGGTAGAAACGCCCAGCTAGAAACCTCAATGTCCTAAATTAAGCTTTTCAGGCCAGGCATCGACGAATGCGGTTGTATGTGTGGGGAAGACTAGACCTTACCTATTAGCTCTATTTGTCAGAAATATCGCACGCACTGAGCGACACTTTGCAAAACGAGTAATCGAGTTACATGCCGGTGATTTTTTCCCTTCCTAGTCGAAATGATTAATCCGTGAGTTTTCCCGCCAGGCAGCGCACCCGGCGTTTCCGCTACCAAATATCACGCGTAATTAAAAAAAATACGACAAAGTCGGTTTCCTTCGGGTTACCACCCTCACAGTCGTAAGCGGGTACCACTAGCCTCCCACGGTTCAGTGAGGGGGAGAGCGGGGGGAGGCGTGTTGGTGGAGGAGGGGGTGCTGGTGGGGGCGTGTGTGAGCCAGCAGCTGACGTGCGGAGCGGTTGCTACTATTTGCTTAACTGAATTGCCGACACGTGTCGCGCGCCGTCGGCTCCCGTGTATCACGCCTATCTCTGACTGATAACAGCTTATCATGTCCAACTTTATATCGGCGCACGCAGCCGTGTGCGCATGCCGTCACACGTACACGACAATACGGTGTGCGTGCACCTGCAGCCACACACGCACGCACGCACGCACGCACGCACGCAAGCACGCACGCAAGCACGCACGCACGCACGCAAACACGCACGAACATACTCAATTAGGTATGCACGCGCGCACGTACGCAGGCAAGCACGCACGCGCACACGAACGAAGACAACCACGCACGAACGCACGTACTCTGGCAAGCACGCACGCGCACACGAACGAAGGCAACCACGCACGAACGCTACACGTACGTCACCGTGGATTCTGCATATCAAATATTCGCGCGTAAAATTAATTCAAATTAACGTTGCATCGTTATTGCACGTGGTCCAAGGATCGTTGACTACGTCTTGTCTACATTGTCTATTTTTGGTTGGTCTTTGTGTAATCTGATGCGCGCGCGCGTGTGTGTGTGTGTGTGTGTGTGTGTGTGTGCGTGCGTGTGTGCGTG